ACAAACCTATCAAACAAACAACAGACAGACAACATCAGTCGATAAATTGATCATACAAATAATCAATCAGCGAATCAGTCAGACAATCAATCAACAAACCAATCAAACAAACTACAGACAGACAACATCAATCGATTGATCAATCATACAAATAATCAATAAACCAACAAACCAATCAATAAATCAGCGGATTAGTCAAACAATCAACAAACCAATCAAACAAACAAACAAACCACAGACAGACAACATCAATCGATTAATCAACCATATAATCAATACAAATACAAATAATAAATCAACCATCCAGACAGACAATCAATTAGTTAATTAATCAGATACTCAGTCAGACAATTAATCAACAAACAACATCAATCAATCAATTAATTAACTAGCCAGCTAGCCAACCATTTAATAAACCATGCAAGCAATTACGCAATCAACCAATAAACCAGACATACAATCAATCAATCAACTAACTAATCAATCAATCAAACAGACAGACAATCGATCAATCAGTCAGTCGGTCACTAAATCTAAAAAATAACTGTCGTTGTCCATGTGGGATATAAAAGACGACATTAAAAGAAAAAACATTACTGTTGTGATTGCCAGTGGAGGTCACCTCCTGTAGTTTGTGGCAATCGCCAGCGGCAGTTTCTATATGGGCGATTACAACTGAACGAACGCGCTCATCGACTCCTGGAAGAGCTGACAATAATCCAGACACTCGCACGCAGACACAGCTGCTGCTCCTCTACACTGATTACAGGACTATACATACACCTCACCTTCATCCACACGTTGCCGAGTCTTGTTTAGCGTTTCTCTTGGTGTTTCTGATCCTTGCCTTGTTTCTCGTCTAGTCTGACCTCTCGCCTGAACATTGACCTCAATTTTTGGATTACCCTTATGGTACTGATTTGCTCCTGTTCATGACCCTTGCCTGTACGACCTTGATTATTAAACTGCATTTGGATCCGCATGTCTGCTCTCAGCGTCTGCTTCACAACAGAAGTCTCGGCCACAAAATGGATCCAGCAGGATTTTAGCTTATGCGTCTCCGTCAGGAGAATCGTTCCATCGAGGAATACGTGAAAGACTTCATACAGGTAGCTAATTTCTCTTCTATGGATGACTTGTGTTTAATGGTTTTCTTTTATGGTGGACTGTCTGACCCTCTATACTCTGAAATGACATTGCCATACCTGCCAAAACTCCCGGGAGTCTCCCGTATTTCAGACCTATCTTCCGTTTTGTTCTGTCTCCTGGAAAACTCCCGGAATTTCTCCCCTCCAAGGACCCCAGTCTTCAGTTTGCGATCCCCCCTCTTTAGTTTGCTACTCGCCACCAACCCCAATGACCCCCTTCCAACCCCGCTCTTTAGTTCGGTAATGCCTTCGTCACTGCCAGAGCTGCTAGAGTCTTCGTTGCTTTCCCTGTGTGTTTCTGATCCTTGCCTCGTTTCTCATCTTGATCCATTGCCGCCTAGTCTGACTTCTCGTCTGTACATTGACCTCGATGTTTGGATTACCCTTATGGTACTGTTTTGCTCCTGTTCATGACCCTTGCCTGTACAACCTCGATTATTAAATTGCATTTGGATCTGCAAGTCTGCTCTCAGCGTCTGCTTCACAACAGAAGTCTCGGCCACAAAATGGATCCAGCAGGATTTTAGCTTATGCGTCTCCGTCAGGAGAATCATTCCATCAAGGGATATATAAAAGACTTCTCACAGGTAGCTAGTTTCTCTTCAGTGGATGACTTGTGTTTAATGGTTTTCTTTCATGACTGTCTGAGCCTCTATACCAGTGGTCACCAAACTTGTTCCTGGAGGGCCGGTGTCCTGCAGATTTTAGCTCCAACCCTAATCAAACACACCTGAGCAAGCTAATCAAGGTCTTACTAGGTATACTTGAAACATCCAGGCAGGTGTGTTGAGGCAAGTTGGAGCTAAACCCTGCAGGGACACTGGCCCTCCAGGACCAGGATTGGTGACCCCTGCTCTATACCAAGGATCACCAAACTTGTTCCTGGAGGGCCGGTGTCCTGCAGCTTTTAGCTCCAACCCCAATCAAACACACCTGAAGTAGCTAATCAAGGTCTTACTAGGTGAACTTGAAACACCCAGGCAGGTGTGTTGAGGCAAGTTGGAGCTAAACCCTGCAGGGCACCGGACCTCCAGAAACGAGATTGGTGACCCCTGCTCTATACTCTGAAATGACATTGCCATACCTGGCAACACTCCCGTTTTTCCCGGGAGTCTCCTGTATTTCAGACCCTTATCCTATATTGTTCTGTCTTCCGGAAAACTCCTAGAATGCCAACGGGACCCTAGTCTTCAGTTTGCGACCCTTCCTCTTGAGTTTGCTACTCGCCACCAACCGCAATGCTTCATCAACTTCATCACTACCAGAGCCTTCGTCGCTACCAGAGCTGCCAAAGCGTGCACTGCTGCCAGAGCCTTTGTCGCTTTCCCTGTGTGTTTCTGATCCTTGCCTTGATCTATTGCCGCCTAATCTGACCTCTCCCCTGTACATCGATTTTTGGATTACCCTTATGGTACTGTTTTGCTCCTGTTCATGACCCTTGCCTATCCGACCTCGATTATTAAACTGCTTTACAACAATTGCATTCAAATGAGTAGAAGTTTTGATCGGGAAAGGTCACAGGTCACAACTAAGCAAGCAAAATCAATGTCATAGTCGTATTTCTGCTGTGTTTACCCTTGGTACGTGACTGTAAGTCCCGCCACTTGTGAGTTGTCACACTGTAGGAAATACTGGATGAGCATTGAACAGAAAGCCAGAACCGACGCCACGATGCAGATCTTGGCCGCTCCGAGAACATTCACCTTAAATCTCTTCATTATAAACCCTCCAGTGACGATTCCCAGAGCCACGGCTGGGAGATTCATGATGCCTGCAAAGACCAAATGAACTCAATTCATCAATATTTATATTGGCGAATATTTGACTTCATTAACAATTCGTAGTTGTATAGAAATATATCCGATCATTTGGATTTAAATTTAATCTGTAGTAGTAGGACACTTTTTGCACTATATAGCTTTTGAACACTATGAATTGGAATATACTACTACTGTACACTATACGTGTACAAATACAATCTGTTCTTATATATCTTCCCCAGAAATTAATATTACACATACTATAACAAAGCCAGCAAACAGAAACCCACCTATCAAGAATATTGCTCTTGATGCCGATTGGCCGTAAACTTGCTCCATGAACTTCGGCTTGAACGTGATCATCCCTATGAAACCACTGACTTGTATCAAACCGGTGCAAACCAGGAGCACATAGATCGTGTTGCTGAAGAGTTTCTTCAGTGACGGCAGAAAATCTGGACAACGTAAAAAAAGAGGTTTCGCATAAATCCAAGAGTAAGGTATGCTCAACGAGTCAATGCACCTACTGTAGGGATTAAAACACACAATTTATAAACACTTGACTTTCTTAGAAATACTAGTAACTTCATTGCAAGCTCCACACAGAAATGCCAACTCAATGCCGGGACACGAACCAGCGACCTTCTTGCTGTGAAGCGACGGTGCTAACAACTGAGCCACCGTACCTCCATTGTCTAATGTTGCATGTGTCGATTACCTTTAGCCAGGGCTGACATGGTGACCGGCGCGGGTTTGCTGGCAGGAGGATTGTGTTTGTTGTTGTCAGGGATGAAGCGCTCCTGCTCTCCTCCTTCTGGAGCACCTGGTTTCTTCTCACTTTCAGGCTCTCCCTGTCTGGTCAGAGACTTGGGAAGAAACCAGAACGGGATTCCGGCCAGCAGCATCACTCCACCCGTTACCAAGAAGCCCAGCCACCAGGCGCCGACCCAACGCGAGTCCTTATAGTTGATGGTGATGCTGTCTAGACAAAAAACAAACAAAGACACATTTCATTGATAAATCAGCTTTTATAGAGGGCTGATATACACAACTGGTGGCAAAACACAGTTGAAGTCAGAATTATTTGCCCCCCTTTTTTTCTGTTTTAAATATTTCCCAAATTATGTTTAGCAGATTCAGGAAATGTTCACAGTATGTCTGATAATATTTTTTCTTCTGGAGAAAGTCTTATTTGTTTTATTTCGGCTAGAATAAAAGCAGTTTTTAATTTTTTTAAACACCATTTTAAGGTCAATATTATTAGCCTAAGGTTTATATTTCCAATAGTCTACAGAACAAACCATCATTATACAATAACTTGCCTAATTACCCTAACCTGCCTAGTTACCCTAATTAACCTAGTTAAGCCTTTAAATGTCACTTTAAGCTGTATAGAAGTGTCTTGAAGAATATCTAGTCTAATATTATTTACTGACATCATGACAAAGAGAAAATAACTCAGTTATTAGAGATGAGCTATTAAAACTATTATGTTTAGAAATGTGTTAAAAAAATAAACAGAAATTGGGGAAAAAAATAAACAGGGGGCTAATAATTCTGTTATATATATATATATATATATATATATATAATAATTTATATTAGGGTAACTATATATATATATATATATATATATACAGTAACTTACAGTAAGTCCAGTAATAATACTGAAAAGAAAAATGTATTTACACGTAGAACCCCATTTATTTTGCTGTGTACTGTTGGTACTTACAGTACTGTATATCTTTACTATAGAAAAACACAGTAACGTTCACAATGCAACTGTAAAATACAACAACATACTGCAAAACTGTCTTATTTAAAACACAGTTAATATTACAGTCAAACATGGTGCAATTTACAAAAAAAAATTATTAACAGTAAAATCAAAATACATTTTAGATTTAATAAATACAAAATACTATTGGCTGTTTATTTTAAAAAGGGGAGGAGTTACTTCATGTCCTTCTTTTCTATATGATTTAGTAGAAATTATAAACTTAACGAACAAAATTGCAGATTTAAATGGTCATTTTGTCATATTTTCGACTGTATTTTGTATATTTGACATGTTTCATATCCAGTTGAAGTCGGAATTATTCGCCCCCGTTTATTTTTTCCCCCAATGTCTGTTTAACGGAGAGCAGATTTCTTCAGCACATTTCTAATCATAATAGTTTTAATAGCTCATCTCTAATTACTGATTTATTTTATCTTAGTCATGATGACAGTAAATAATATTAGACTAGATATTCTTCAAGACACTTCTATACAGCTTAAAGTGACATTTAAAGGATTAACTAGGATAACTAGGCAGGTTAGGGTAATTAGGCAAGTTATTGTATAGCGATGGTTTGTTCTGTAGACTATCGGAAAAATATATAGATTAAAGTTGCTAATAATATTGACCTTAAAATGGTGTTTAAAAAAATTAAAAACTGCTTTTATTCTAGCCGAAATAAAACAAATAAGACTTTCTCCAGAAGAAAAAAAATTATAGGAAATACTGTGAAAATTTCCTGAATCTGTTCAACATCATTTGTGAAATATTTAAAACAGAAGTAAACAATTCAAAAGGGGGCGAATAATTTTGACTGTATTTGTAATGTAAATATGCACTTGGATGTCAATGTATTGCCATGTATCAGAGGGTAACTAACTGGGTCGGACTAGTTGAATTTTACTCAAACCACACTGCAATTGTGTGTCATATACTTATCATAAAGTCATGTCATTTATTAACACCTCTTTAAAAAAACGAGTCTGACTTCAGATAATAGTCAACTTGAATACTTTCGGCTGCATTTTGAAAGTTAAACTTTTGAACTGAGTCGGCACCGATGACCTGGCCTTATCGATTACACTGAAGGACAACAAACTTTTCGCATAATTCTCACGCAACAAGCACATCTGACTGAGTTAAAGTGGACAAAGGTAACAAGGTTATTTGTTTTTGTAAGCTGGATTTTTAATTTTATTTTTGAGAAACTTCTCTACAAAATAGCTTTGTCACATTGGTGTTGTCTGGAAATGTCTCATTTTGGTCCTGCTAACATACGAAACATTTTTGGATGAGTGTTGAAGCCTTCATTGCTCATATTTTCCGGTCCCACTTTATATTTAGTGACCTCTACTAGTATGTACTCATTTGTTGCAATGTGGTTATTGTGTAAATACATTTACCTGACTAAACTGTAATTACTTTTATAATTTTGACCATCCCTTAAACCTTAACCCACCCTTAAACCTGCCCATACCACCAAATCTTTCCTTACCCCTACCCATATCCTACCTCAAGAACAGCAGAAGTGCTCTGCAATACATTAAGGACACTTATGGACACTTGGTATAAAGTGGGACCCATTTTCCTTCTCTTATAAACATGTGATTTTGGGTTATTATGTTAAGGGTCGCTCTTTAAAAGAAGCTGGTTTCATTAAAAAAAATCGTTTTAATAAACATGTAATTTTCACATTTACAAATGCAGGTCTGCAAAAAGCAATTGACTCTTTGTGGTGCTCGAAACATCTGATCTTTAATATACATTTTTTTAGATAATATGAGTCTAAATATAGAAAAGCATTTAAACTAATATTTTTTTTTTTGCAAAAAATGCTGGTAATAACATTTGCATAAACGTTAAGTTGTTTCGAAAGAATCAAACTTGTTAGCAGGACATTTTCAATTACATATATGTACTGTTATTATGTATGCTCAGTTTTGAATATTGTCATTAGTTAAGGTCAGAATAAATGTAGCCATGTTTTATAAATAAACTAAGTAAACTAAGAAATAAATACATAAATGAATAAGCAAACTAATATACAAAAGCATGAATCAATAACAAAAAACAGAAAACAAACAAATAAATTACAGAGTACATGAATAAGATACTTAATAAAATAACTAATAAATAAATAAGATAAATAAATAAATAAATTAGATAATGGAAAAATAAACTTCTAAATAAATATATAAATAAATAAACTAATACATAAACAAACAACTAAATAAATAAATAGGATAAATAAATAAATAAATAAGATAATGAAAAAATAATGATGAATATCTAAATAAATAAACTAATACATAAACAAACAATTAAATAAATTAAAAAAACTGGATAAATAAATAAGATAATGACAAAAATAAACTACTAAATAAATATATAAACAAATAATAATATAAATAAATAAACTAATACATAAACAAACAATTAAATAAATACATAGGAAAATGAAACAAATAACCATTAAATAAATATATAAATAAATAAACGAATACATAAACAAATGAATAAATAAATAAATAAACAATATAGGATAAATAAATAATGAAATAAGACAATGAAAAAATAAACTACTAAATAAATATAGAAATAAACTAATACACAAACAAACAATTAAATAAATATATTTATAAATAAATAAACTAACACATAAAAAAACAAATAAATAAAAAGATAATGAAAAAAACTAATATATAAATATGTAAATAAATAAACTAATACATAAACAAAAAATTAAATAAATAAATAGGATAAATAAATAAATAAATAAGATAATGAAAAAATAAACAAAAGATGAATATCTAAATAAATAAACTAATACATAAACAAACAATTCAATAGATACATAGGATAATGAAACAAATAACCATTAAATAAATATATAAATAAATAAACGAATACATAAACAAATGAATAAATAAATAAATAAACAAAATAGGATAAATAAATAATGAAATAAGACAATGAAAAAAATAAACTACTAAATAAATATAGAAATAAACTAATACACAAACAAACAATTAAATAAATATATTTATAAATAAATAAACTAACACATAAAAAAACAAATAAACAAACAAATAAATAAAAAAGATAATGAAAAAATAAACTAATATATAAATATGTAAATAAACTAATACATAAACAAAAAATTAAATAAATAAATAGGATAAATAGATAAATAAATAGGATAAATAAATAAATAAATAAATAAATAAATAAGATAATGCAAAAATAAACTACTAAATAAATATATGAATAATTAAACTAATACATAAACAAACAAACAATCAAATAATTAAATAAATAAATGAGACACTGAAAAAAATAAACTACTAAATGAATATACAAATAACTAATACATAAACAAACAAAAATTCAATAAATAAATAGGATGAATAAATATGATAAATAAATAAATAAGATAACGAAAAATAAACTGCTAAATAAATATATAAATTAATACATAAATAAACTATTAAATAAATAAATAAGATAAAGAAAAATAAACTGCTAAATAAATATATAAATTAATACGTAAACAAACTATTAAATAAATAAGATAAAGAAAAATAAACTGCTAAATAAATATATAAATTAATACATAAACAAACTATTAAATAAATAAATAAATAAGATAAAGAAAAATAAACTGCTAAAAATATATATATAAATTAATACATAAACAAACTATTAAAAAAATAAATAAATAAATAAGATAAAGAAAAATAAACTGCTAAATAAAAATATAAACTAATACATAAACAAACTATTAAATAAATAAATAAATAAATAAGATTAAGAAAAATAAACTGCTAAAAAAATATAGAAATTAATACATAAACAAATTATTAAATAAATAAATAAATAAGATAAAGAAAAATAAACTGCTAAAAATATATATATAAATTAATACATAAACAAACTATTAAATCAAATAAATAAAATTCCAAAAGATTCCATTTCCATTTATTGCACAAGCACATTTTAAAGGATTTTAGCATGCAATCAGCTTATTATTGTTTATTAAGATAGTATTAGGCAGTATTAGGGATGTAGCATCGATTGTGCAAAGTATGTAATTCATAATTATAAATAAACAACCAATATCCTAATAACAGACAGGTAAGAATCCACTAGTTAATAGTGGGAATTGGTCCTTAAACTGAAGTGCTACCAATATATCTGACATTTTTACAATGATTATGAGAAACTTTAAAGCAGACACTTGCCTTCAATGTTTAATATGTATATAAAATTGTCATTTCATGTGATGCAGACACCAGAAAAGCATCTCATCTTTGACCCAGGAAAGAGTCATTGTAGGGTAAAGAGCAGTTATCAGTTCAACACAAAAAATATAGCGTTTTTCATTGGCCGAACAGGTAAAAATGTTTACACTTTGACATAATCATGTTACCTAAGTCCACCGTTCCAATGTCCACGTACAGCTTGGCACAGAACGAGCCCAGCATGAATCCAAACATCGGCCCCATGATTCCCACCGTCTGTATGAGAGCTGGAGGAAAAGATTTACAGTCAAATTTCCACAAAATAAAACAAATATATTAGAAGATGTACTTGCTCTGTTAAATAAGAGCTTGAAAAAGAACTACAATTTCACAGGAGCACTAACAAACTGATTTATTAATTACTTATTAATAGTTAAAGTTGTGTTCAGGTATTGGGGATTAGGGATTTAGAATAAGATCAAACCTTATAAGTGCTAATAAACAGTAAATATCTCTATTTTAATACATTTAATACGCAAGAGCACATTTAGTACAATTAAGCATGCATTAATTTTTTGCTCATAACAATAGGGTATTTACTAAGGTTTATAAGTCAAATAGCAATAAATACAATTTCAAGTATATAAATTAAATAAATAAGACAATGAAAAAAAAAACTACTAAATAAATATATACATAAACTAACACATAAACAGAAAACTATTAAATAAATAAATAAATAAGTCAATGAAAAAATAAACTACTAAATAAATATGTAAATAAATAAACTAATACATAAACAAACTAACAATTAAATAAATAAATAAGATAATTAGAAAAATAAATAACTAAATAAATATATAAATAAATGAACTAATACATAAACAAACAAACAAATAAATAAATAAATAAGATAATGAAAAATAAACTACAAAATAAATATATAAATAAATAAACTAATACACAAACACACAAACTATGAAATCAACCCAGGCTCATTCTGGAAACGTAGCCCCGTGGACGTTTCTGGAGGCTGCGAAATATGTTCCTGGAGGTACGTACTTGAGCAGTTTTTGTTTTCGGAATCCGCAAGAGGCTGCTGTGCACGTTTTTCCGCGTCTCGAACGCCTCTCGTGAGAGCGCGCCATTCGCGCCCACGCTGTTCTCGCGTAAAAAGCCACCAGAGGCTGCTGTCGAGCGACTATCTGTCCAACTGACTGACTGACTGAATGACTGAATGACTGAATGACTGACTGGGCGGCCCGCCAATCGGCTGACCCAGCCACACTCCTCCTCCTTCTTCCCTAAACCCGAGCAACGATTTACAAAAGCCGTCCAGAAAAAGAAAAGCCCTTGTCCAATTTTGAGTTTTTGGATTTCACCGCATTCTCGCCCCGTTACAAACTGTTTTTCTTTATTTTTTGCATTCTGTTTTTTGTCTCACCTGATTTTTAGAACCGCTCTTTCCCTGGACTCGAACCCAGTTGTTGCCGCGGCCGGCTCCTCCTCCGGGCCTTCGCTTAGCTCCGCCGATGTAACATGATGAACTAACCGGACAAACTGGTTGCAGCGGGAAAGCCCTCTACATGGAGGCGAGCCATCCGCCGGCGAGCACGAAGAGGAGCAGCGTCACAACGCCCTGTAGCGTTCACTTTAAAAAACTAAATTCGACCATACGTACCTCCGGCCACGTAAATCGCGGCCTTCAGAAACGTCCGCGGGGCTACGTTTTCAGAATGAGCTTGGGTTGAATTAAATAAACAAATAAATATGATAAATAAATAAATAAAATAATGAAAAAATAAACTATTAAATAGATATATAAATAAACTAAAACATAAACAAATAAACAATTAAATAAATAAATAAGACAATGAAAAAATAAACAAATAAATAAATATATAAATAAATAGACTAGTACATATAAAAACAAACATTTAAATAAAAATAAATAAGATAATGAAAAAATAAACTACTAAATAAATATGTAAATGAATCAACTAATACACAAACAAACAAACAAACAATTAAATAAATAAATAAATAAATAAATAAATAAGATAATGAAAAAATAAACAATTAATTAAATATATAAATGAATTGATTAAAACATAAACAAACAATTAAATAAATATTTTAATAAATAAATAGGATAAATAAATAAATAAATAAATAAATAAATAAGACAATAAAATTATAAACTACTAAAATATATAAATAAATACATAAATAAATAAACAATTAAATAAATAAATAAGAAAGTGAAAAAATAAACAACTAAATATATAAATAAATAAACTAATACACAAACAAACAATTAAATAAATACATAAGATAATGAAAAAAAATAAACAATTAAATAAATATACAAATTAATTAATTAATTAATACATAAACAAACAATTAAATAAATATTTAAATAAATAAATAAAATTATAAACTACTAAAATAAATATATAATAAATAAATGAATACATAACTAAACCAACAATTAAATAAATACATAATAAATAAATAAATAAATAAATAAATAAATAAATAAATAAGATAATGAAAAAAATGACTAAATAAATTATTAATTACTTATTAATAGTTAAAGTTGGGTTTAGGTATTAGGGATTAGAGATTTCGAATTAGATCATACTTTATAAGTGCTAATAAACAGTTAATATCTCTATTTTAATACAATACAAGAGCACATTTAGTACAATTAAGCACGCATCATTTTTTTCTCATAAGAATAGGGTATTTACTGAGGTTTATAAGTCAAATAGCAATAAACACAGCGCAAATTTCAAGTATATAAATTAAATACAAATGTATTTTGGAAGTGAATGAAATATTTAAGCGCTTGCAGTGTAATTAGCCGGACACAAACAGGCTAAAAGCAGGTGTACATCAAAAACGGTAACATAATATTTAGACAAGTTATTCTTACCCAGGTAAAAAGCAGTGTTTTCCTCTCTTGAAAAATCATCCAGGTAAGACAAGCCAAGAGGCATGACAGGCGTCTCTCCAATCCCACGAAGCATGTTTCCCAGAAACACAAAGAGCCACAAGGAGGAACTGGAGGCTTTTTCACACTCTATAACAATAAAAACAACAACAGATGAACAGCTCTGCTCTACAAAGGCAACGTGCAGTACAGTTACTGAGACTTTTATCTCAGTATGTTGATGTACTTTCTAATGCAATGCAATATTGAGTAGTAAAGTCGTAGAGTGAAAGTTTGTTATCACAGAATAAAGCCTGAGAGGCAGCCTGACACAAAGCAGAGCACTGAAGAGCTTTTGAAAACAACAGTCCTGGATGTACTTTATCACGCTTATTACATGGCTACTTGCCACAACACATCACAATTAGACACAAAACTTTATTCTGAGCTGTGATAGTTTATTAATTCTTAAATTAAATGCAAAGCTGACAGACACTAAAACAGCTGATGGAGTATACACTAACCTGTGCATTATTCAGACACTAGATGGCGCCAAACAGTCAAAAACACAACAGAAACTAAAACAGCTGATGGAGTATACACTAACCTGCGCATTATTCAGACACTAGATGGCGCCAAACAGTCAAAAACACAACAGAAACTAAAACAGCTGATGGAGTATACACTAACCTGCGCATTATTCAGACACTAGATGGCGCCAAACAGTCAAAAACACAACAGAAACTAAAACAGCTGATGGAGTATACACTAACCTGCGCATTATTCAGACACTAGATGGCGCCAAACAGTCAAAAACACAACAGAAACTAAAACAGCTGATGGAGTATACACTAACCTGCACATTTTTCAGACACTAGATGGCGCCAAACAGTCAAAAACACAACAGAAACTAAAACAGCTGATGGAGTATACACTAACCTGCGCATTACTCAGACTCAAGATGGAGACAAACAGTCAAAAACACAACAGAAACTAAAACAGCTGATGGAGTATACACTAACCTGCGCATTATTCAGACACAAGATGGAGACAAACAGTCAAAAATACAACAAAAACTAAAACAGCTGATGGAGTATACACTAACCTGCGCATTACTCAGACACAAGATGGAGACAAACAGTCAAAAACACAACAGAAACGAAAACAGCTGATGGAGTATACACTAACCTGCGCATTATTCAGACACTAGATGGCGCCAAACAGTCAAAAACACAACAGAAACTAAAACAGCTGATGGAGTATACACTAACCTGCACATTTTTCAGACACAAGATGGAGACAGTCAAAAACACAACAGAAACTAAAACAGCTGATGGAGTATACACTAACCTGCGGATTATTCAGACACAAGATGGAGACAAACAGCCAAAAACACAAAGCTGACTTAAACTAATACAGCTGATGGAGTATACACTAACCTGCACATTATTCAGACACAAGATGGAGACAAACAGTCAAAAACACAACAGAAACTAAAACAGCTGATGGAGTATACACTAACCTGCGCATTATTCAGACACTAGATGGCGCCAAACAGTCAAAAACACAACAGAAACTAAAACAGCTGATGGAGTATACACTAACCTGCACATTTTTCAGACACTAGATGGCGCCAAACAGTCAAAAACACAACAGAAACTAAAACAGCTGATGGAGTATACACTAACCTGCGCATTATTCAGACACAAGATGGAGACAAACAGTCAAAAACACAACAGAAACTAAAACAGCTGATGGAGTATACACTAACCTGCGGATTATTCAGACACTAGATGGCGCCAAACAGTCAAAAACACAACAGAAACTAAAACAGCTGATGGAGTATACACTAACCTGCGCATTATTCAGACACAAGATGGAGACAAACAGTCAAAAACACAACAGAAACTAAATCAGCTGATGGAGTATACACTAACCTGCGCATTATTCAGACACAAGATGGGCCAAAACTGTCAAAAACACAAAGCTGACAGAAACGAAACTGGCTGAATGGAGCATACACTAACCCTCATATTATTTATCCACAAGATGGTGCCAAAGAATCAAAAACCATGGCATGACAGACAAGCATAAGGTTGCTGGATGAGCCTGTGTTATTCAGTGGTTGTTCTCTGGAAATAACATACCTTGGAATGCTGCGACTGACCAATCAGAATCAAGTATTCCAGACTGCCGTGTAAAAATAAGAGATAACTCCATAATTCAGAGCAGTTTCATTGTAAATAAACATAACTGAAACAGTCAGTAATATGGAGGGGGAAACTAGAAATGATAAATAATAAAGATAAATAGCACACATCAGAAAAGTTACATAAACAAATTGCACAGTTTACCCTGTTAAAAATAATGGCCAGTTAATGGATGAAGTTATCAAATCTCATTCACTTTTTCTGATCAACCTTAAACGTCACTTTAAGAAAGCCCAGATCTATACGTGAAAACATACGATTGGTTCCCTGTTTATGCTTATTTAGGACGAAATTAGTGTTTTTTTTAGTTTAAACACACCAAGATAGACATGTTTACATGTTTACATTATTACGTGTGTTTGCTGGTTTAAACACACATCCAAACAGCATATTACGGAGCATGTTACGGAGCTTTAAGAAAGGAAATGCTCCTGTTTTTATAGTAATTTCAGAGTACTTTTAAGCCTAACTATAATGATTACAATTATATCACATTTGACATACTGCCACCTTTCATTGAAAGATTCAAAATACGTGATAAATACGGGAAAATGCTTAAATGGGATAGAAGAGTAAAATATAGGAGAATTCCCCCAAAAATAGTCAAATTGACAGATTTTTTACAGTGTTTTGGTGAACTGTCCCTTTAATAAGCTACTGTAATAAACATGGTAAAATATGAAATCTTCCTAACGAATTGACCTTATTCTAAAATGTGGAAGTGCGCCTGTTTTTACGAATGTTTTAGAACTTTCGATTCAGTCGCCTATGGGAGAAATGACTAGAAATAATAATTATATTATTAATTATTAAATAATTATAAAATATTATTATTATTAAATAATTATAAAATAATAATAAACGGCAGAAAACGGTCAAATTACTTACCCTACAAACAAATGTTTGCATGACTATACAAACCAAGTAGAATAATATAATAAGAAAATATCACTTGGCACAGATTAATTCGCACGAATCGGGTCATTCGTGCATATCGCGGCGCAGGATTTCTATGCGCACCTTTGCATTGACTTAACATGTAAATCACTAGCGCTTGTCGTTTCTTCCGCGTCTGTTGTGAATGCAGCATAAGAGGGACGTGGTTTAGAATATTGATAAACAGTTGCTATGAAAGCTCTCAAGTTGACTTCACAAGAAGGATTGTAACTTTGAATGCGAAAGCAGATGGCCATTCTTTGATCAAAGATTACCAAAACAATACTTCTTTTTTCACTGGATTGATTATTCACCTTAAGAATAACAACCCTAGCTAGCGAAATAAACATTGTAAAATCGAACTCTTTAAAACACCACCTCGGATTTTGTAGTGACTCTTGTTTTTTCCAAAATGCGACAACATTGAACCATGAGACTTCATTCGTAGACTTCAGCTTTTCTTCACATCATTTCGTCGAGTTGTTCGCAATACTTTTGCGCATGTCCACAGAATTCGCCACACCAATCCTCTTTGCAACTCGGCGGCTAACATTAGTAGTCTCATGCTGTGTTCACACCAAACGCGCATGCACGTAAATTGCGATAATTACGCTTAAATACATACACTTTGAGTTTACTCGCTTCATTCACGCAACAAATTCACTTCACAATAGATGCAGATTCACGTCATGGGCAGGGCTTCTGTCTGTTCGATGACTAGTTTCGTTGCTAAATTGCTAACATGGATTTTATTGAGAGATTATCTGTGTTTATGTGCTTTAGGAAGGCTGAAAAACAGCGTAGATTTGTTCGACGCCGTGTCTAAGTCCTGTAGGTACTTTCAGAGGTGCACCCAGCTCTGTGACTTCATCAACTCTTCCAGAAATTGTACCTGGATGATGGAACCTTTCAGTAATGCTTCTGACTGATCCAAGCTCAGTTTTGATGAACTGTCGTCCAGAGTCGGGACACCAACAATAGGCACTACATCATAATCACGCCTCTACAAGAGCAAGCTCCTGATTGGCGGTGCAAATGTTCGCTAAAGTTTCCAAGTCGTTAAGCGAATCAAACACAAAAATGTTCAACTGGCGTGCTTCATTGGCACAAATCAGATCATTCGCATGAAACGCGTCATTCGTGCCGCGCCATTCCTGCAGCAGGATGTCTATTCGTGTCTTTGCATTGACTTAACATGTAAATCACTCACACTTCATGCTCCATCCGTGTCTGGTGTGAATGCAGCATCAGCCTTCACATGCTAGCGACGTTTTTCTTCTATAGTCAAATATTTTGGCTTGTCTGGTACGAAAGCAGCAGCATCAATGCTAAAGTTTTAAATAAAAGTGAAAACGTCGACAAAAAGACTCACTACTTTCATGTTTACAACTTCAAGTGCAGTTATATAGAGCTAATTTTCAGATAATGATATCAGAATTTACCAGTATTTTGGAATCAAGTGCTAATGGTGCTTTATCGGGGATTTTGCGGAACGCCCTTTCCTGTGCGTACAGCAAATCAAAACATTTCCGGTAAAGTCGTTCCAGCAATTTCGACCACATTACAAGGTGTGAAAGGTGCTATCACGAAACACATGTTGCTGTTTTGCATAACACATCGTTACTGCACTTTGCCCTTTTGAGGGCCGAACTGCACACATGATCCGCAACACAACTCCAGCATCTGCACCCCCGAGGTTAGATTTCGAGATGTATCGATTACATAGAAGCGAATCAAAGTCAACACAGGTGGCTTCCAAAAAAGTTCAAAAACGAGAAGCAGAATCTTGAGTGACAGGTCAGTGCCGGCAAGGTATTATGGGTATAGCGCAATCATATTACAAGCCAAACAGCAAATAATGAGTTCCCAGCTCAACTTTCCAAACTTTAAAGTTGATGTCTTGTCAAATGTAACCTCAGTTTTAGAATGAAAAATGTAGTCAAAAGATTACTTTCAATAAATTGTACAGTATATACGTTAAATAACTACAAAACGTTACTTGTTTTATTGAATATGTGGATAAAATGTATATATTTTAACTATATGATTACAAATATATATGAATAATGGCTAAGCCCTATGAATTTGCACAAAATAATACATTTTTGTTAGATTTTATTTTATTGATCAATGTATTTTTACCAAATTGTCATCGAATCTCGATTGACTTTAGTCTCTTTTAGCTAAATACTGGCTAGTTTGTATAAATTTGTAGTTCATCATGTGATTCATGAGAACTATTTTGACATATTCTCGGCTAAATTTATACGAATACGCACAGTATTTTTACATTTCGTATGTTTTCTTTTTAGCAGATGGGTCGCTAATGTATTTCATCTCATGTGTATGCATTTGTATGATCTCGTTTAGCATAAAATGTGGCTAATTTATACAAAATGTACTGTCGGGAATCTCATTTTTAGCGATTTATGAACATACATAAGATTTATATAGAGCTATATATATATATATATATATATATATATATATATATATATATATATATATATATAAGCTGTTTATAAATTGCCATTTTTGCTTTATTTTAAAATATATGTGGCATATATGACATACATTTTATATTTTTATTTATGTGAAATCCAAACATAAATATATATGTAATTTATGTAATTTTGATATATTGCCATATATTAGATTTCTATAATGGATAAAAAAGATTTATATGTTTATAATAAATATTATTGATGTGTGTATTAAAGTTCAATAAATAAATAAATAAATCAACAGATAAATAAATAAATAAATAAATAAATAAATAAATAAATAAATCAATAAATCAATAAATTAAAGAATAAATAAATAAATAAATAAATAAATATATAAATAAATAAATAAATAAATCAATCAATCAATCAATCAATCAATCAATCAATCAGTGAATAAATAAATAAATAAACAAATAAATTACTAAATAAACATATTAACAAATAAATAATTAAATAAATAAATCAACAAATAAATAAACCAACAAACAAATAAAATAAATAAATAAATAAATCAACAAATAAAAGAATAAATAAATACATTCATAAAATTCCAAAAATAAATAAAATCGTTTTATATAATAATACAATATATAATAAAACTAAATAAAATATGCATATTTATAATTCAAATTAGCTTATATTTAGCTTTGTAACAACTTCCAATAATATTCAGATGAAATGTAACATTGAAGAACAAACTTGATTCAATGCGAAGAAGTCAACTCGATAAACTAGCGACCTTATCAATGAGCAGCATACGATGGCCCCGTGAGTTTATTATTATTGTGAAAATATGGTTGCAGTCTGTGGCTGAATCTCTTATCTGAGGTATGTTCAGGGTCAGGGCTGAACTGCTTACCTGCTTGAGACTCCACAGTAGGAATTTCACTATCTTGTGCAAGACTCGCATTTGTAAGGCACGGCAGAACATTCTCTGTACCGTTTACCGAGGCCGAGAAATGAGAAATGGTTGACTCGTATTTGTACCTGTGGACGACAAACACACAATAATGCAAAACAGTCATTTAGCAGATGCTTTTGTCCGAAGTAACAATTGAGGAGGCGTTGACAATTGAGGAAACAGTGCTCAGAGAATTAAGTGCTAGGAGTTAGGAGGGGGAGTGTTGTTTCTACAGGTGGTTTGTCAAGCCCGCTCACCTGTGTGAGGCACACCTCATAGATGCGCAATGCTTTTTACATTTGTATTATTTTTTAAAACGATATAGAGTGATTCTATGAAAGCTTATGGTCCAAGACTGGTGCAAGTGTAAATGAAAGAGTGCACTTTTGACAGGTGGTTTGTCAAGCCCACCTGTGTGAGGCACACTCAGAATTTTGAGGTTGTTGTGTGGTATAGTGGGGGTGGGGTGGGGTGGTGGTGGGGGCGGTGGATTCTTGGATTTGTTCATGGGTTCAGGTAATCACGGAAGAGATGGGTATTTAGTTGTCATGATACTAGAATGATACTAGAGAATCAGCAGTCCGTGTGGGAATGGATCATTCCACCAGTGAAGATCAGTGAATGAAAAGGTTTTGGAAAGTGACTTATAGTCTCTCTGATTATGTATGTATGTATGTATGTATGTATGCATGTATGTATGTATGTATTTAATTATGTAGGTATTTATTTATATATTTATTTATTTATTTGTTAATTTATTTATTTATTCATTTATTTGTTGATTGATTGATTTATTTATTTATTTGTTTGTTGATTAATTTATTTGTTCATTTATTTGTTTATTTATTCATTTATTGATTTATTTGTTGATTTATTTATTTATTTATTCACTTATTTGTTGATTTATTTATTTATTTGTTTATTTATTCATTCATTTGTTGATTTATTTATTTATTTATTCATTTATTTATTTGTTGGTTTATTTATTTATTTATTCATTTATTTGTTGAGTTATTTATTTATTAGTTGATTTATTTATTTATTTATTCATTTGTTGATTTATTTATTTAGCCATTTATTTATTTATTTATTTATTTATTTATTTATTTATTCATTTATTTATTCATTCATTTATTCATTTGTTGATTTATTTATTTATTTATTCATTCATTTATTTGTTGATTTGTTTATTTATTCATTTATTTATTTATTTATTCATTCATTTATTTGTTTATTTATTTATTTATTTATTCATTCATTTGTTTATTTATTTATTTATTTTGTCATTTATTTATTTATTTATTCGTTTATTTGTTTATTTATTTATTTAATTATATTGTCATTTATTTATTCATTTATTTATTTGTTGATGTATTTATTTATTTATTTATTTATTCATTTATTTGTTGATGTATTTATTTTTGTATTTTGTCATTTATTCATTCAATTGTTTATTTATTTATTTATTCATTCATTTATTTGTTGATTGATTGATTGATTGATTTATTCATTTATTCATTCATTTGTTTATTTATTTATTTATTCATTTATTTGTTGATTTATTTATTTTGTCATTTATTTATTGATTCATTTATTTGTTGATTTATTTATTATTTATTTATTTATTTATTTGATTTCATTTTAGTTGTCTTTTATGTCTTTAGTTTAATTTTCAAATTGAATCCTCATTGCACTTAACAAGTTTACAATGATAATAAAGCTTGTTAACAAGTTTTTAATGATAAACGAAGGTATTATAACGCTTTGTTTTGTTATTTGTTTTCATTTACAAGTAGTTGGGTATTTACAGCTACTATGTATTTCTGGCGGCACAGTCACATACTGTTATTACACCAAAAAACCTTAGTAGTGGTAGTGTCATTTTGAAGTGTCACCCATTGTATGAAGAAAAACTGACCTTAGCTGTGTTAGCTAAACATAAAAATGTCTTAATGTTTGTGTAAACTTACTGTCCTTGGAAGAAATGCGGCATCGCTGTTATGAAGGATCCTGCGGACATGACTAAACATCCAGCTGCTATCAGCCGCGGCCTGTGAAGCTTAGCACCAAAGTAACTCACGAAAGCTATTACAAACAGATTACCTGAAAACAAGAAGGAAATGACGTTCTGTTAGAATTCTACTTATTCGAGAGCACAAAGAGAGAAGTAGAGTTGAATTATTAGCGCTTCTGTGATACGCTAGTTGTTTTTCAAAAAGATTCCAAAGTGATTTTTAACAGAGCAAGCAATGCTCTTCGGGAGAAAGTTTAATTATTTTAGTTTGGCTGAAATTTATTCTTCATATATTTTTTTCTATAAATGCTTATTAAATCATGTTTAATAGTCTTTTTCCTTCACTTCATAGCTTCTGCGCTGCTTCCAGTAGTGTTTGTCTATATTATTGTATTTTATAGATTTTTAACCAATCATATTTTAGCAATTGTGTTGCCGGGGTTAACGAAAATCTGCCTTGAGGTCTTTAGAATTTAAAATGTACGCTTAATTAGCAATTTATAATTGAACCAATCAGAATTCGCTATGACGTATTAAGACATGTCATGCATGAATTTGTCAAATTTACATATGTAACTTCCGCCGGTCCTACGCCACCCAACCCGCTCCGAGCTGGTATCGAACCGGTGACCTTCCGCATGGGAGTCGCTTGCTCTACCAAGGAGGCTAAAGACCATGGCCTCTAGCGAACGTCGCTAGAGCACCTTTAGAGGTCAGAGGAGTGAGGTTTACCTGCACAGCACTTACTATCTGGCCTACTTATACTCACCCCCCTAAACCTTACTCCCATCCGGGTCACGGCACCAATATAACCCTGCCGGTCCTACGCCACCCAACCCGCTCCGAGCTGGTATCGAACCGGTGACCTTCCGCATGGGAGTCGCTTGCTCTACCAAGGAGGCTAAAGATCATGACCTCTAGCGAATGTCGCTAGAGCACCTTTAGAGGTCAGAGGAGTGAGGTTTACCTGCACAGCACTTACTATCTGGCCTACTTATACTCACCCCCCTAAACCTTACTCCCATCCGGGTCACGGCACCAATATAACCCTGCCGGTCCTACGCCACCTAACCCGCTCCGAGCTGGTATCACACCGGCGACCTTCCGCATGGGAGTCAGTTGCTCTACCAAGGAGGCTAAAGTCCATGGCCTCTAGCGTCTTCCTAGCTTACTAACTTGCCTCTGCTACATATAGATAATAAAGTCCAAGACTCTTATTACTCTTATAAGTACGCTGAGGGCGGGGCTTTCATTTTGCGGGTCATTCCCTCAAAGCAAACTAACGGTAAGAGAGGATATTAATATGCTGTTGCCATAGAAGCCCTCAGGTTGACGTCAACAGAAGGACCTCTACTCCAAACGCGGAAGCAAACGCTCAGATTTTGATTGAAGATTACCAAAACAAACACATTTTTTTCAGTGGATAACGGATTAATTGTTCACCTCAAGAATAACTATGTGAGTTAGCGAAATAAAACATTGTCATTTCAAGTGCACTTTAACCTGGTTGAAACTTTTTGCTAGCCAAAGGTAAGAAGAGTGTACAAAAATCGTACAATTACACTATGAATTCGTATTTAGAGTGTGCCACTATATGAAGGATTGATGTTCATAGCATTCGTCAAAGCCCAAAGTGTGTGATTTCGACTCTCACCGATTTCAAAACTTCCATCGATGAATCCGATTAGCGAGCTGGGGACGTCAAAACGCCTCTCGATCTGCGTGACGGAGCTCTTCATGTAGCTGCCCTGAAAGGCTTTGGCAAAGAACACAAAGCACATGGCAGCCAAAAACATCTGAAAACACACACACACACACATTAGGTTGACAATTCATGCAAGTAAAAACAACACCCATGTTATTCTACTGAATGGTATTCGAATGAGGAAATGAATCTTATGTATTCCTCGAAAAGTGGCTAATTCGTACAATGTTATTTCTATGAAAATGTATGATTTTTAAAAGGGGGCGTGTCCCCACGCCTAACCCTTATTGGTGGATGAGCAAACTATACAAAAAATGAGATTATACGATTTAATCAACGCTATCTCACGGCAATTCGTAACTTTTTGATTTAGTGGCTAGTTCGTATAAATTCGTACGATCTAATTTGTACAATTTAGTACGATTTGCTCATCCCCCAATGACGGTTGGGGTTAGGTGCCACGCCTCCTTTTTAAAACTTTACATTTTCATACGACCGAACTTGTACGAATTCGTACGAATTACCCACTAAATTGACAAAACGTAAAATACTTACGTTTCCTCGTGAGATCATGCTGGAATTAATATGAATTAGCCACGAAATCAAAAAGTTACGTATTGTTGTAAGATCGTGTTGATGGTTTCTATATCGTCAGCTGATAAACCAAAATATACACTCACCGGCTACTTCCAGCAGGATAACACACCATATCATAAAGCGCCAATCATCTCAGACTGGTTTCTTGAACGTGACAATGAGTTCACTGTACTCAACTGGCCCACGCAGTCACCAGATCTCAATCCAATAGAGCAGCTTCGGGATGTACAGCCGACTGCGTGGAGCAAAATCTCTGAGGATTATTTCCAGTAGCTTGCTGAATCTACGTCACGAAGGACCAAGGCAGTTCTGAAGGCAAAACGAGGTCCAACCCGATACTACTAAGGTAGCCGGTGAGTGTAATATATGGCAGTGAATGTCATAAAAACAGACAAAACTGCATGTACTTTTTGTGTTAGGTACAGTATGGTGACTCTTTGTCCCTTTTCGCGAGGTACCACAGGGCGTAGTCTTCGGCCCCTTTAATTTCCTCCCTTTACTTAGTTGTTTAAGCCACAATCTGAAACAATTTTCCCAATATTTGCACTACTATCAGTTGTTAGTTGTATGTTCACGGTCCACCGGTTAACCAGTAACCAGTAAATGCTGTGGTGTGGGTCAGAAGCCGTGCCATTGATTGGTTTAAGGAAGCGCACCAATCATCAACTACCATTAAATCTCTCACTCTGCTCCAGATATTGAACTTTAAAGGGACTCATTTCCTCCAGCATGATAAGGGGAAAAGTGATTTCCTGATAAAGTGCTTTTGGGTATGCGAGTATTCCCATGGTGTGACATTTTTGTTTGTTTTGCTTTATTGCAGTTTTTCGATAAGACAAGACTTGCAGCGTCTCAGAAATCATCCAAAATGAGTAATCTACTTACACCGGTGTCTCTACAAACCCTCAAAATGCTTATTATGATGCTTCCCGATTGAAAATTGTCTTAATTTTAACCAATTCACTTAAAAAATATATAAAATATTATTATGTAAACAAATTAACAACTAAATAATAAATAAATAAATACATTTATTACAATTTTCACGTAAAATATACAATAATATTGGAAGTATTCATAGGAATTAGCAACCATTTTACACAAAAACAAGAAAACTAAGAAACTAACTAACTAAGGAAACTGTATAAATTAGCAAAGTTACATCGCCATCTACTGGCATAGTATGCATGATACAGCAATTTGAGTCGTAATCACAGATTTAACGACTAAAATAAAGATAATTTAGAACTTTTTAAGTTCATTTAAGCCACATTTGCATCTTATTACATTCGACAAAAAATTCGTACAAATTATGTTGTAAACAAATTTTGTTGCAAATAAATTTTGATGAGTTTTATTTAATTAAATTTTATGTTATATTTTATCTTTATTTAATATTTTATTTTAATTTTTTTTTCATTCTAAATTGTAGTAAAATTACTTGTATAATGTAAACAAATAATGTTAAGTTTAATTTAATTTAATATTCTATTTTATAATTTTTTAATTAAATTTAATGGTTTTATAACTTTATAATGGTAAAGTAAGTTTTATATGATGCTAAGTATTTTTTGTGAATTAAATATTATATAATATTTTATCTTAATTTTTTATTAAATTATCATTTTTTTCTCACGTTGTAAACAAATAATGCTAAGTAAGCTTTATTCAAGTTGATATTATATTTTATCTTATGTTAATTAATTTAATGTTTAATATTTTATTTTCAATTTTATTTTCTACATTTTTTTACTACATGTTGTGAACACATATATTTTATTTATTCATTTATTTAATGCGGAGTACATTTTATTTAATTCATTCATTTATTGTATTCATTATTGTATTCATTAATTTTATTTTTTATTCTATTTTATCTTAATAAATCCTGATTTTTTTATTTCGGTTTTTATTTCATTATTTTCCTCATGTTGTAAACAAATAATGCTAAGTATGTTCTAATTAATTTAATATTACATTTTATCTTAAATTATTTTATATTATTATATTTCATTTTTTAATTAATTTTATTCAATGTTATATATTTTTGACATTGTTTTGATTTAATTTTATTATAAAATCTTCAGTCTTTTTTTAGTTTTTTAAAAGCCAACTTGCTTAATTTTATATTATATTTAATTTTAATAATTTTTATTTATAAGTATTTTGTTTCAGGTTGTAAACAAAAATGCTAAATACATTTTATTTATTTAATATTATATTTTATGTTCATTTATTTTATATTTATATTTCAGTTCAGTTTATTTTATTCATATTTAATTTTATTTAACTTATTTTATATAATTGTTATTTTATTTTATTATTAAAAATGTTAAATTGTTTTTTTCTTGTTTTTTTATGCAATTTGGCTTAATTTTATATTATATTAATATTATTAATAATTATATATTATATTGTGTATTTATGTCTTAATTGTTTTTAGTATTTTTTTCACGTTGTAAACAAATAATGCTAAATACGTTACATTACATTTTATCTTAATTTATTTGTATATTATTATTTTATTTTAGTACATTTCATTTTATTAAATTTAAGATTTACTTTTATTTAATGTTATATTTTATTTTAAATTATTTTAATTTTTTTATTATAATTTTTTTTCAATGCAAATTGGCTGAATTTTATATTATATTTAATTGTAGTTATTTTTTTATGTAATATTTAAAGTTATATTTAATTATTTTATTTAAGTTCATTTCAATTCATGTCATTGTATTATATTTTATATTTCATAAGAAAATGTATGCTAGATTTTATTCTAGATCATTTACATTTTATTTTATCATGTTAAATGTTGAATATCTTCATTGTTATGTTACAAATTGGCCTACTTTTACATTATTTTACATTTTAATAATTTTGTAAAACGTTACATAACATTTTATTCTACGTTTAATTTTATGTTTTTGTTTAATTTATTTTTAATCATATTTGAATCATATTTATTATGTTTAAACATGTATTATTATATTTTACTTCATTTATTCATTTAATTAATTTATTTATTTATACTTTATTTATTTATGTATTTATTCAATTAATTGTTTATTTGTTTATTTAAATAGATTTTTAAAATAAATTAATTTATTTACTTAATTTATTGATTTATTTCACAATTTAATATTATTAATACAAATGCTATATTTCAGTTAATGGTTAAAAAACATAGTAGATTACTTTTTATTTATTTATTTATTAGTTTATGTATATATTTATTTATTTACTTCATTTATTCATTTAGTTATTTATTTTTTACTTCATTTTAATAATTTTTTAATTGTTACATAATATTTTATTTTCTGTTTAATTTGATGTTTTTAATTTTATTTTTCAATACAAATTGGCTTAATTTTATATTATATTTAATTGTAGTTATTTTTTTATTTTATGTAATATTTAAAGTTATATTTAATTATTTTATTTAAGTTAATTTCAATTCATGTCATTGTATTATATTTTATATTTCATAAGAAAATGTATGCTAGATTTTATTCTAGATCATTTATATTTTATTTTATCATGTTAAATGTTAAATAATTTTATTGTTATGTTACAAATTGGCCTAATTGTACAATATTTTATATTTTAATAATTTTGTAAAATGTTGTATAATATTTTATTTTACGTTTAATTTTATGTTTTTGTTTAATTTTCTGTTTAATCATATTTTAATCATTTATTATGTTTAAACATATTTATTATGTTTTACTTCATTTATTCATTTATTTTTACTTTATTAATTTATGTATTCATTTAATTTATTATTTGTTTGTTTATGTAAATAGATTTTTAAAATAAATTAATTGATTTACTTAATTTATTGATTTATTTCAAAATTTAAAATTATTAATACAAATGATATATTTCAGTTAATGGTTAATAAACATTGTAGATTCCTTTTTATTTATTTATTTATTAATTTGTATATAAGTATTTATTTATTTCCTTCATTTATTCATTTAGTTATTTATTTTTAACTAACTGCATTTTAATAATTTTTTAAATTGTTACAAAATATTTTATTTTTCTGTTTAATTTGATGTTTTTAATTTTATTTTTCAATGCAAATTGGCTTAATTTTATATTATATTTAATTGTAGTTATTTTTTATTTTATGTAACATTTAATGTTATATTTAATTATTTTATTTAAGTTAATTTCAATTCACGTCATTGTATTATATTTTATATTTCATAAGAAAATGTATGCTAGATTTTATTCTGAAATGTTACATAATATTTTATTTTACGTTTAATTTGATGTTTTTAACTTTATTTTTCAATGCAAATTGGCTTAATTTTATATTATATTTAATTGTAGTTTTTTATTTTATTTTATGTAATATTTAAAGTTATATTTAATTCTTTTATTTAAGTTCATTTCAATTCATGTCATTGGATTATATTTTATATTTAATAAGAAAATGTATGCTAGATTTTATTCTGAAATGTTACATAATATTTTATTTTACGTTTAATTTGATGTTTTGGTTTAATTTTAATTTTTTCAATAATATTTAACGTTTTCATTTTATTATGTTTAATATTTCATTAAATATTTAATTCAATTATATATTTGATGTATTCTAAAACGCAAACTGCTCTAACATTTTCTAAAAGCACGTCGACTCTAAAACTAGGGGTTAACGGAAAGCCATTCTCCAGTGACGGGATTAAACCGTTCTCCAGCTGTTACATCTTTGATCATGAAGCAATCAATCAAGAACCCAAAAGAGTGAAAAATCACCTTTAACTTGCTGCAGCATGGCTCCTTCTTCTTCTCCGTACTCATGGTGTCCTGGAAACAAAATGAAGAAGACAGAAGAGACCGTTAACAGGTTATTGTCGAGCATAACAGCATGTTGTTCTTTAGTTGGTCCATTGTTCAAGACGTAAGAAAACACGATCAGAGGAAAAGGGTCCTGAGGGTGGAGCCGAGAGACGCACAAATTGCTCCAGGTTTCCTGCAAGAGGAAGGGAGTCTGAGGGAATCAAAGATTTTCAGCATCAGCCTTTTGTTGATGTTGGTTTGATGCTGAACACAATGAGATGCGTGGCAGGACAGAATATTTGGAGAAAGCGAGAGGGGAAAGAATCCGCCGCGAGTATGGTTTGATCTGTAGACCTTTGAAAAATATATAGCTTAAGGGGGCTGATAATACTGACCTGAAATTAGTTATTCGAGATGAAATAAAACAAATAGGACTTCCTGCGGAAGAAGAAAATATTCTAGGAAATACTGTGGAGAATTC